GTAATGTCAAAAGTTTGTGCAATCAGCGCTGACCTTTTCTGCCTCCAATATACCCTATCTTTAAACCGCTTTAAACCGTTAAGGTTGGTCAAAATGATTTTAGTGAAATTATGTGGTTTACGAATGAAGTTGGTTTAGACCTCATATTCCTAATGTAATAAGGGGCGTTCGAGCTATGTATAATTGCAGCAGTACAGCAACTGTGTTGCATATTTTCTGATACTCTGCTGATGTGCAGACAAAAATTTAGTGTTGCCGATTATTTGCATAAATTGCGTGCAAAAATGACAGCAGAACGTGATGCTGTTGCAAGTGTTGCCAAAAATTCACGCAGAACGTGATACTATGACAAATTTGCAACATTGCTGTCGTGATTGCCATCTCGAACGCACCCGAATTCTGCTCCTCTGGTTAACATTGAGAGATGCAATATCTCAATATATTAAATTTATCCTCTTAGATTGAGTTTATGTCAGATATGATATCTTAATTTAGGATTATGTGAATATAATTTTCGCTGGCGGGAACCAAAATATAATTATCAAACTAATTTAGTCTATGAACTATAATTAAGTTAATAAGATACAAATTTGATTTTAACCCATTCACAATTTCGTCGAACAATGAATGTTGAATTCTTTCGCAACATTTTTACGGTTAAAGTAAGTTAAAGTCGAACTTAGTGCTTCCATACATGTTTGATTTGTTAATATACTAAAATTAAAATTATTGTCACTTAAATACATCATAAAATATATTTTCAAATAATATTAACTCGTTTCATAATTTTTGTGTAAACTATTTTTGAAAATTTCCCATGTGTATTTTTGTATTAACATAATTAAACTAACAATAATTATTGCGCCTGAACGCAGTATTCATAAACGTAAATAAAAAATAATTTTGCAGATCCTTTAAAATTTAATTTTAACCAACTTGCGAAACACACCTATAGCGCGCAAGAGTTTCACCGCAAACGAACTAATTAATTCAAATCTACTATACATAACAATTCTAAATTTCTATGAACGTCATTACCTTCGTTTACCAATTCGTACACAAATTGAACAATGCTGTCAAACACTTTAAACAGTGGTTCTCCAAAATGTAAACTCGAGCTGTTGCTTTTAATTTTAGTTGAAGTTTCTAAATACGATATTATCGTTACCAACTCAACCCGCCACAAAAATTTCGGTTGAAGTGTTATCGAACCTCACCTTGTTTTGTGGTATTACAGTTTCCAACTCTGTGTTGACTAGAGTGTCAAAAACAATGTTTTTATTATTATAATTTATTTTTACAATTGTGCCTAATATAAAAACAAATACTAACAAACAATTCAACAATTATTTCTAATTAAATAAAAAATAAAATACTAAAGCTCAATGTTAATGAAATATGTACATTGCTGCTACTGTTCCCGTGCTAGGTCGGAAGGCTTCTTGTCTTCATTTCGTGAGACTTGCAATTTTGATTATTCATTTACCACTGAATTCACGCCTAGATCACGGTGTAGTCAGCGGATATACGTAACGCATTAACTAAAACCTAGTACCTTAATTTGCAAGCGCTGGATGGCGGCAATATAACTTTGGCTTGAGCAACCCCATAGTCTACCTACGGAGCCCAGAGGCCTAGACTGGCTTTAGAACTTGATTGTATATTAACAACTTACTTTGGACTGAAAACTGGATGTCCTGCCGGTAAGTTTAGCAAATTTCAAATCAAACTTATTTTTTGACTTGCTATTACAGCGAAGCTTAGCATCTAAGTGATACCTTGATACTTAGCACTTAAACGATATGCCGATTTTCAATGTAAAGTCGACGTGAATTGATTTGGTGTTGTTTAATTTGATGCGTCACTTAATGCCCATTTGGTAATTGCATTGAATGCTGTCTGCACTCGTCGAGTAGATACTGAGGTTGATTCTCCAACAAATAAAATGCAAATAATGCATAGCCCCATTGGCCTCGGAGCATCCGCTTCCAAGCAGTTGTATCTGAACATTATTGCGTTAAATTAGGAAAATATTAATAGAAAGGAAAACAGTTAAATAAACTCCTTTATACGAGGTGTGTTCAAAGGAAAAGGTGCATTTTGATTTTCTGTGTATATACGATTATCAAAAAAAATGGTGACTGGCGACTCAGTCACCTGTGATATGTAACTAGTACCCTTGTACAATTTACCCATTCGACAATTATACCTTACAGAAAAGTATCGTCTACCTACCTCAGAAAATTGTATCTAATAGTATTAACCCTTATTATAGCAGCTCAAGAGCAGTTGTCTACACTATTTTCCGAATTTTAGTTTGATTACTTTGAATAATACCTTTAAAGAATATTTGTGTACTTTATTTTATATTCATTTACGAACGTTTCTAATTGAATAATTTATAGAAATTAATCTGCAAACAAATCCTTCTATCTGGCTTAAACAGTTTATGTATTTTTAAGGTAACACATTTTTTGTTGCGACATATATTTTAAGAATTTACATTATCTAGAGATAATAATATGATTAATATAATATTTATAATTGTACTTAAATGCTGCATTCTTATAGATTGATAGTTAGTAAACAAAATTTTAATATTTTTTAGAATTTTTAGAATTGTCAATATTAATCAACTTTACAAACTGAGTCAACGCACATAATTTAGTAATTTCATGACAAACGTAGAAATTAATTCAATTCTACTAAATAAAACAATTTTAAATTCTAATGAACGTCATTGTTACCCTTTTCTTTATGTTGCATTTTACGATTTCTGGGAAAAGTTTTTACCCGTTTCCGAATATGTACACTCAGGATAGTTACCTGTGTTTTTAAATAGACCGATTTTGTAGCTGCAAATTATAATTGTGTTTCAGTATCTATAGCAAACAAACCGGCAACTATAATCCACTAGTCGTAGAAGTGTAGGATATACAATTGCTTAGCGACTACTATACTCGGGGTTAACTGAATTCAATTATAAACAGTGTGATTAAAAAAATTTTAACAGAGAAGGTACAATTTATATGCCAATCATGCTTACATAACTTTATTAAACAAATTTCTTTTACCGTTAATAAAATTTTAATGAAATATATTTCCTTAGGTCAAAGATTTTTCATAATCTATATTTTTTAATAAAACAATATACTGCCGCTAACATTGAACTGTTTATATTTCATTTTTAGTCAAGTTATAATTGTAAACATTAGAACTAAAATTAAGAAATCTAATGCAATACGATGTATAGGCAATTGAGCGTGTCATCATAAAAAAATAGTTTTTAATTGGTATGATATAATAAAGTATGTTAATTTTCATCGTACAGGGGTGTCGCGTCGCCCAAATTCATAGAATGAGGAGAAGTATTTGTACGAGGTGTACTTCGAATCGACCGTGGGCTCTTATGATCCCTTAATCGATAATGTTCATCTGAGAGTTTATTAAATGCAGATGCCATATCGCTTGCAGTTGGAACCGCATAACTAACGGCCCTTGAGAAATCATTCCCAACTGCTCGAGATATATTTGGGGTAGGATGTACTGGCTTACGTCTGGCCCATGATTCGGACGCCATTTGCCATTCTGCGCTCTCCTTTTGGGAAGAATAAATATGGTTTTTCGTTGACTCTAATTCCAATCTGGGTGAAATTCCGTGATATAGATGGTTTTCCTTAGGCTGCTTAAGGTTTACTGTGCGATGATAATTTAAATTTGAGGATGAAGAATTGGGACTGGGGGTATTATGCGAGTAACGAGGTGTTTGTGAAGAGTGTGGCGTATTATATGGGGTCATGAATGGTGTTTGTCCGCTGGGGGTATACGGTGTATTAACATATCCGCCTTGATATCCAGGAGTATTTGGATAATGAGGGGTATGTATTGTTGATGATTGTGAAATATGTTGATCCGATATTCGTGAATCAACGTTTCCTCTAGGGGTATCATACCCTGAAGTTCTGACGCTACCCGAAACGTTGGGAGTAGAAATAGGAGTGTTCGCTATTATGGGGTCTGAATAATGATCTTTAAACCATTTTAGAAGAGAATTCAGTGAGTCAAATATTTGACCTCTAAAACGAAAGCCTTCCGGTATAACAGTGACGTATTCGTGTCTGCACTTAATTTTAGGCAAATACGACAATAAAAATTTTCCAGGATAAGATTTCGATGCTGATATAAAGTAATGAATTTTTTTAGGGTCTTTAGTTTTTTCTTCTTTCAGCAATTCTTCCATTTTATCTTTGAGACCACCACCTGTGTCTCTATAATATTTATAGGTAAGAAATTCTCGTGCACATGCTGCCATGGGGTTTACATGTCTGGCAATAATTTCATCTAGATCTTCAAATTCTTCATTTCCAATCCATAGGCTTTGACCCAAACTGAAAGCATTTTCCTTTCCTTCTTCTCGAACGTCTATGTGTTGATAAATTCCCGAGGAAACCTTCCATGTTACAGTTAAATGATCTGATCCTTTGCTAGAGGGGCGTACAATAACTTCTCCTTGGTCCATATTTTCCATAATTTTAACAACTTCTGCATATGATTTGTTGTGGAATGATGGATGAATAATTACACGTTTTACGTACTGCTGCTTTGATCTCACTTGCTTCTGCTCATTTTCTTTTCGGTTGTCTTTTTCTTCTATTTCATAGTCATAAAATGGATCTTTACGCGGTCGCCACTCATGATTTTTATCCATCAAGTCAGAACTTTTCGAAGAACAATCGACGGAAAACCTTTCTACGTCAATTTTAATGATACGTACATGTATAGCTTGACCAATTTGAACTCGATCTTCCGGATTTAATACGTGTTTGTCTGACAGGTTTTTAATGTGAATGAATCCAGAAAGCCCATTATCTAACCGTAATTTAACACCTGTTGCTTGACCAGGGCAAGCGCCGGCATCAAAATGATTCCATACCTCGGAAAGTTCGGGAAAATCATCCTTTAAACAAAACGGGCATTGCCAATGCCCAGTTTCGTCATTTCTTACGGGATTGGCTTGATCAAGTTGATCCCCTTGGGGTTTTTTATGAGATATTCCCGAAACTGTAGCCAACACCATTTTTCCCACATAAAATGACTCAGGTGTTTCCTTGGTTAGCATATCGAACAATTCCTCAGAATTTGCAGACCGATAAGGTGTTCTCAAGTCTTTATATAAAGCATTTAGTTCTGTACGAATATCATAAAGAGTTATGCTCTTATTTCCAAAACCTTGTCTCTCTAACTCTACAGCAAATGCATCCAAATCGAGATCTTTAAGTCTTTCCGGGGATTCAAGAATTTCCTCTAAAGCGCCTGCAGGGTTAGCTTCTTCATCATCATACTCCATTGCATCGATAGCCATTTTTCTGGCCCATTCATATGTTTCTGGATGTATTCTTGAACCATCCAAAACTTCTACATAGGCTTCTGTACTATCACCGAGTGAACTTGTATCTATTTTAATAAAACCCGAACAATTTATAAATACTTTTGGACCTAAATGACACAAAGTCACCAACTGTGTACGATTTTCCAACCTTTGATTGGACTGTTTGAGTAATTTAATTAACGCCTGTCCCTTTCGTGGACCCAATCCACAAATAAATTGCACTAAATTTTGGGTGTATGAGTTTTGAACAGTTAAATTTATATCCAGTCCAACCTCGTTTGTACGATTTATAAATTCTATATACAAGTATTCTAACATCTCTTCTTTTGCTAATTGCTCTTGCAATGTATGATATCGCAAGCAAAGTATTTCTTCATCAACGCTGCACAATTGCGAATATTCAACAAGCGGATCCTGCATTTTTCTTGCTATTGATACTGCTTGTTTTAATAAATCTGGATATTCTTTAAAATCAGAAGCTCCTTTATTAGAATTTGCATAAATCTTAGCCAGTTCGTTGTCAACAATTTCCACAGCAATCATTGGAAATTGATCTTCTTCGGATAGTTCTTTAACTAATTCCTGGACGTCGTTTTTTAACATCTGGGCTTCTCTAGATTCACCCCCAATTGCAATAATATGTGGTTTTTTATTTTGGATAAATTCCTTCAAATTTTTTAAATCCGATATTTTAAAATTTTTTTCATCGGAACGATATGAATTCTTGCGTTTTAAAATATGTGGTAATCGAAGATAATCGCTAACATCGCCTTCAACTGTTGTTATAGCACAAAAAGCAGCCTGTGAATAATCTGGGACATATGCTATACCCATTGCTCTGATTCCCTTATTATAGCTCCAATCGTCATACATATATTCATCTGCAATATCAGGGCGATATGGGGCCACTTTTAACCAGTTCGCTAGCTTCATACAGCAAGACTTCAAAACAAACTGTTTCGCTTCATTTAGAAGTACTGTTTTCAATTCTTTACGCAATTCTGGAATAACCATCATTTTCAATGCCAGCTCGACACATTCGGCTCGTAACGAGTTCCATTCTTGGACCACTTTTGAAAATTCGTCTCGCTGATAAAGTTGTTTAGCTTCATCAATATACGAATTTGAAGTATTACCATCAATATGATCCGAAATTGTTATTTCAATTAACTTATCTTCTTCGGCCATAGAAAGCCTCAAAAATTGGTCTCCAACTAAATCCTTTACAGGTTTTTTCACCAAGTATTTCATAGTATAACAGTGATGATTTTCATCAATTTCTTTTAACCCCTTTTTGGTAGGGTGGACATCTATTTTAGCACGTTCAAAAAAAACTTCTCGAACACACTTTTTAAGAAGAGGTTCCCTTGAAAGTTGCCGAGCAACAACGAATTTAGCAGCATGTACAACTTCTTCAACAGTTACAAATTTTGGACATAAATATTGCTTTGCTATATCGAGTGGGGAAGCTGTTTCCTGCTCCACTTCATGACGTTGATAGCTGTCTCTTAAATGTTCTGCATAATTCTCAGGTGTTAGCCCAAACTTTTTGGCAAATCCACATATGCCTGCTTTACGACACATTGCATAGGGACCTGAATCCTTTGCCTGTTTTAATTGTTCTTCTCCTTCCTCAACGTCATCGTCAAAATTTTCAATCATATCTTCCCCATCTTGCTGACTCTGGCGAAGTTCTTCTTCTCTAGCAAGTCGTTTTCGTTCTTTTTCTATTTTTCTAATTTGTTCTTGCATTTTAGGTATTTCATGTGAATAATGCAGCAAAAAATGCATATGAACATCCTTTAATTCTTCCATTGTTTGTACTTCCTTTAACCTCTCTAAGTCCTCATCCAAAAAAATTCGGATATCGCTGGCTGTGGGATTGTCACCATTTTGATCTATATTTGATCTTTGAAAGTCACGCATTTTTTCAAATAACAGTTTTAATTTTTTCTTCCTACTATAAAGCTGACACCAACGTTCATCATAATAATATATCTTCCACAAATCTTCACAACTTAGTTCCGGTTTTACATATTCTTTCCTATAAAAAGCTATGAAAGGTACCTCTAATTGTTGATTTCTAATAAATTCCAACGTTTGCTTAATTTTTCCAATAGCACTGATTGGTTTCTTATGTTTGTCACGACTTGTGTCCAAGGATTCTGGTTGTGAGACGGTTGGTTTGCAAAACGCCTGTTTATAAATCCACTCTGCTTCATCGTCTAATTCAGTTGAACCCTCTGCAACAGGCGTTACCGGAACTTGTCTTAACTGCATTCTTTCAGGTATGTCAGTCTTTCGGATCTCGTTATCCAAATCAGTGAAGTGACCTCGCTTGAGTTCACTTGGTTCGTATAGATCGAATATAGTTTTCTTGGAAACTTTTTTTTTAGGCGGTTTCTTTTTACTTTTGCTTCGATCTTCTTCACCAATATCTTCATCGTAATCCTCACCTTCCGACTCATCTTCATATTCATCTTCGTCATATTTTGCAAAATCATCGTAATCAAAATCCACTCCAAAAATGTCCTGACCTTCTTGCAATGATCTATGGATATAACGGATATTGTACATTATTTTAAACATTAAAAATACACTCACACACGACAAGTATAAATTATTCTATATTTTAATATAAAAACATTTTTCTTTTTAATTATTTTTTAGTTTCGGATATTTAATAAATTATATTTCTAGCAATATTTTGTTGTTTGTTTACTTACGCGTCGGTGAAGATAGGTTTCCGCCTTTTCTTTTTCTCGGCAATCGGACGTCCTTCATCATCGACAATAAAATCATCTGCATCCGAATCAGATTCTTCATCTTCTTCATAAGTGTCATGATCCTTTTGACTTCGTTCAGACCGCCTTTCTAAGTTCTAAAAGTGCAAAAATAAAAATACACTTTCAATATGTGTGTTTACCATATATGTTTATTCTCATAATGCGAATAACTTTAGTAAGTTCCTAAAAAACGGAAAACATTTTGTAAATTATGTCATTTTTATAATTATCGTAAGGATTTTGTTCCGAAAATAATTTCACGATGCATACCAACTATAATATTCCAAAGTTTTGTGCATTATTAGGCATTCAGACATTTTGTACAGGTCTACTTTCTTGCTAGCTAGCCTCTATGAACCACTGTACAAGGCATTGAGATTTTTATCAAACACGAGTTTAGAGTTGAAGTGAATGTTAAGTTGATTAGAGGAAGATCTCTCAAGCACGTATTACAACTTCACTAGCTATATGGAAGATGGTACCACGAAACTAGCCTCATTGATTGCCCTACACATTTTATGTTCACTCAACACTAATTCTGGTGTTACTACCTATGGTGGCCTTCATGAAGGGAATTGTGCATATTTCGGTTATGGTTACGACGAAATTCAGTAAACCAGTACATGACCGTTAAATGTGTTGGGACAGATTTGACGTAACACATATCAAGCTTTAGCTTATTTTCCCTTATTAAGCAATCCATTGGAACAAAAAACAGCAGTGGTAGCATCCCTTTGACACCAACAACTTGATTGTATCAAGTGTTTTGAAACTTTAAGAGTATTCTAGTAAAGGTTATTATTCTAATATCGGGATTAAAAAATTTAAAGTTTAATTTTTGTTCCAAAATTTTTGATTTGAAAAATTCGCAACGCTGGTTAGCGCTAAAGAAAAATAGTGATTTTTTATATTACAATAAAAAAAATTGTAAATTAAAATATTAGAAAACTGAGAAAACGATATATAAAAATTTTAAAGAAAAAAGTAAAGAAATATAATTAATCAATTATTAACATAACATTTAACAACCCCTTCGATTCAATTGATTGTACTTCAACATCATTGTTTTTGTCAGCAAATTTAGTTATTGTCATTTTAATAAAAATAGATTCTAAATAAAACTAAATATTATTCAACAAAAAAAAATATTAACGTTAGAATTTTATTTTAAAAGCAGGAGCAATCAAACACCATTCGTAAGTGGATAGTCTTGAACAATTGTATCTAGTTATGCTCTTATAGGTAATCTTTAGAGGTTGATGCTAATCCTTAGAGAATATACAATTCTTAGTAAAGCTTTTCAACTGACCTATTTTAGTTCATTATTCTTAATTGACTAAACTTTAACGTCCTAGCTCTCTTATTAAAACAGTTGAAATCCGTCATTGAACATCACGTAAAACAAATCTGTAACAACTATTCTGTAATGTTAAATATTGGTAAAAGCTGATTCCTCAGGGTAATTACGTTTACTTCTACCCGCTTCAGATTTGACAACTGTTAAATCTTTAAACGCATGTCGAAAATGCATAACGCCGCTGCCACGACAATCGAATTTACGTAATGGAACCGATCCTATCCCATTAGCAGAGGATTATCAACAAGGCAGCATTCCTGAAAATTATGTGAACATTTTCTGCCGTTATAACAACTGAGTACAAGAGGACCATTGAAAGTTGTCAAGTCGTCCAAAAAAAAAGCATGTTGATATTAAAAACTTACTCTTTACTTAAAGTAACCAACAAACATTTAACAATGTTGCTGACTCCACTAGATCTAGAGCATTTGAATAATCAACACTCTCTCCAGGTGTGAAAAAGTGAACAAAGAAACATACAATGGATTTATTAAGGATTTATAATGCAATTGGATTTACATTCCATAATTACGCTTGACAGAAAACTGTTGAGCAATTATTAGAACATTGGTAAGTCACTTTGTAATTTTTTAAATACAAAAATTGATACATGGTGGTTTGGCTCCGACAAATTTCACATCTAACTTGAAAAATTTAATTCAACTCCTGCAAATTGTTGTCTTTTTAGCTTACATAAATTTGTTACACAACAAAGATTACAATCAGACCACAGTACCACAAAATTTCAACTTGGAAAACTATTCCAGAACAATACTTACCTCGTCTTCTTCATCAAAGAGTTGTTCAGCAATAGCTTCTCTGGCTAAGCCCTCATCCACATGCTCTTCTTCGCCATCACTTTCTTGAATACGCCGGAGCCGCTTAAAACGCTTCTAAAAAATTTATTCATGCAATGAATATATTTATGTTACGTTTATGTATGCGTTTTTTAAACTAATTGTAGCCATAACATTTGAGAAATCATACATATAAAATACCACGACGCTTCACTGCGACTTAAGAGTCACTTAGTTTCGTTACTATATGCTGCTCCATGACCGAGATATTTATATTAAAATCAACCCAATTAACTCAAATAATATACCATATATGTAATACAAACTCAATCAAAATGGTTAAGTTTAATATATAATAATAGTCATTAGAGGAAAACGTCAACCGAGAAACTGAAACCAGTGCTAAACAACAATAAGGTTTAAAGTCAGCTAGAAAATGAGAAATCATTGTATCGAGTTATCTGGGTCTGGTCAGTATACTGTCAAACATGTTTCCAGCCAATTTTATGAGAATAACTCACACACTGACCGACACATAAAGAATGTATAATGTTCGGGTAATTTGTTGACCAAATTCAAATATTTTCGGCATTATACTATAGAATATCCAATATTATACGTACAATTAATTTTGCTTGGATATCTTTCATATTGATCGATATATACCGAATAAAGCCAACCGGAAGTTTGAAATTGTTATGTTAGTATATGGGGGTTAGATTAGCGTTGACCCGATATTATCAATTTTTGGCATCACGGCATACTATTCGCACAAAAAGATGATCGTCGACTTTTAATATGATACATCAAATATTGAAAAATAGGTGCGGTAAAAAGTCAATCGGAAGTTTAAAAACCTATTTATTAGGTATATGGGAGCTAGGGGAGGTATCGACTCAATTTTTTCCATTTTCGTCACTAGGGCACACTACTGTCAGGAAAATATTCTCTTTGAATTTTAATAACAAACCTAGAGTTTTCCTAATATTTTAGGTACAAAAGTTTTCTGGAGCAAGTTTTTAACTATGTTGATTTGGGAGTTAATATGGACCCTAAGCTTAATTTTTGTCTTCATATTGACACCATGGTCTTGCAAGTAAAAGCTGTCCTCAGTTTTGTTAAACGTTGGTCTAAAGAATTTAGAGATCCGTATATTACTAAAACACTTTATAAAACTTTGGTTAGACCTATATTGGAATATGGCTCTGTTGTATGGAACCCTAACTACCAAATCCATTCTGACAAGTTAGAGTCTATTCAAAAACAATTTTTACTTTTCGCCTTAACGCATTTCCGATGGGATTCTAGGGTAAGCCTACCTCCATACACTAATCGTTTAAAACTTATTAATCTACCTACACTTTCTAGTCGTAGGGAAATGCTTGGCATAATATTCTAAGTGAAAATCTTGAATGGAACAGTTTGCAGTTGTTTTCTCCTGTCTGAAATTAAATTTAATATCCCGATTCGCTTTTCGAGGCAGTTTAGACCTTTACTGTTAAAATCCTGTAGATCAAATTTTGAACTAAAAGAGCCATTCCGCCGCATATGTCATGATTTTAATTCTCATTCCATCACATTTGGCTTATCTGACTCACTTTTCAAAATTAAAAAGACTTTATTGTTGTCTCTTAATGAATGAAAATGTAACAATTTATTATATTAAAAACTCTGTTGCCTTTTCTTACTCGGGTAATTCCGCACGTATACGGATTGCTCCCCTCGCGTCGGTTGGGCGGGAGGAGGGCAATCGTTGGGTTATTATTATTATTATTAAAATCAACTATCGGCACTATAGTCCACATATTTGGTATTTGGGAACTTAAAAAGTTATTGCGCGATTTCGATCTATTTTTTGACATAAGATGGCGTGCCCTCAGGGAACTTTTTGTAAACAGCTTTTTTCCATATCTTCATTGAAACTTTAATTGTACAGTGAAACAATGATATGGAATTTTAAATTGTGATATATGGGAAGTAGGCTTATTTTCACAAAGAAACATACGGATGTTTAAATATTGTTGTGCACAAAATTTGGTTGAAATTAGTCTATTAGTTCCTTAGATATAGGGTTTCACCTAAAGGTGGGCGGGATTACGCCCATTGTCCAATTTTGAAACCGGCTTTTATGAAGGCTTTTCGTACCACTTCGTTGGTGAAATTTAATAATTTCAACCCGTCGCGTCATCCAGATCAATTATTTATACATATATGTATATTTTTAGGAGATATAAACAAAAAGTGTGAGCGTTATTAGCAATATGATATAATTTTTAAACTAAACAAAAAAAAGGATTCATAAAAAATATAAAGATATAGATTTTTGCAATTAACTTAAATAGAGTATAAAATGCTAAAAAGCACTACCTTCCTTTCAACTTTTACACCTAAGTTCTCCTCAATTAAGTCATAGTCATCATCTTCCAATCGATCGTCTAATTCATCATCATGCTTTTTCCTCTTTTTTGATCCGGTATCAGAATATTCTCCATCACTAGCCTCTTCTTCAATGGGATTATCATCGATCAAATCCTTCAATTCTTCACGTAACCGCTCTTCATCATCTAAAAAGAAAATAGATTTACATACACATAGAATCATCAGCCATCTAGACTTTGATGTTACTACAAGAAATAAAGCTATGAAGATTTCAAATGAAAGCAAATGTACTACACACGAGGTGTGTTCAAAGGAAAAGGAAATCAGCGGGCTGTGTACATTCAATTATCGATATTTTGTTTTTGTTATAATCGGACACATATGCTTATCATGTGCTTCCATTAGGAGCCAATTTCGATTAGTAGTTAGTTTTTGACAACAGAAAAGGTTAGTCATGTTGTTGTGTGCTCTTCGATTTTTGACTTTTGAAAGCGATGGATCTAAGAACATGTATTAATTTTTGCGTTAAATATGGAATAAAGTGCTCCAAGGCACTTGAAATGTTGACTGCGTCATTCAATGGGTCCACTTTGTCTAAAAAAGGTGTTTATAAGTGTTACAAGCGCTTTACAGAAGGCCGAGAAGATGTTGATGGTTATGACCATCTTGGAGGTGCGACCACGTCAACAAGTGAAGAAAACAACGAAACAGTAAAATAATTGTTCTTGAAAATCGTCGAATCACTATTAGGGAAGTTGCAGAGGATGTTGTCATATCAATCGGCACATGCCATTCAATTTTCTCGAATGTTTTGGGCATAAAGTGTGTGGCAGCGATGTTTGTTCCGAAATTACTAAATTTTGAGCAAAAGCAAAGTATTAGTTCGCTCAGGAGTTGTTGAATGACGTCAACAACGATCCAGGGTTGCTCAAACGGGTCATAACTGGTGACGAAACGTGAAACTAATGGCCATACCAAAAAGCGTATTTCAGAAGTGCTTCGAGGATTGGAAAAAGCGTTGACACAAATGTATTATATCCGAGAGGGGTTACTTTGAAGGGGACAAAATAGATATTGATGAATAAATAAGTACTTTTCAAAAACAAATCAAAATTCACTTTTTCTCTTGAACACACCTCGTACATGTTGCTCAACGTATATTAGTTGTGATCACCAAATTGTTGTTTGTAACAACTGAAACTAATGGTTAAAGATTAGGAAGTATTATAACAAAAGTATATACAAAAATACAAAATAACTAGACGACTTAAAATGATCAATATACATTCAAAATCAAATTTGACTCGGACGGACCCATAAACATCGATAAACCTTTCTTTCCAGATTGGTACAAACTTCTTTAAGTTCGTGTGAAGTTTTATCTCAATCATTGGCATCAGTAGGTGTATGGCAGCTGTTTGTTTACGACACGAAAAATGTTTCCGGCGATTTTTACCATGGAAAAAATGTAACAAGTTTGCTTGAAATATTGTGTTTCCAATAGAATCATAACTACAGAATCGTTGAAAATATATGTGTGTTTTGGAGAGCCTACTTTTTTTTCGAACACAAGTATTTGATTGGAACTAAGCATTTAGTGAAGGCCGTAAAGTCATCAAAAGCTTGCTTCATGCGAATCGTCTTTCCATTATTTTATATTAATGACGATAACATCGCATCATATTAGATTATATAGGATCTCAACATCTCTTATGAAACAACTCAATTTGGTAGCATTCTAGAATAATTGAGACTGACTTTTTGCCCAAGCATTCGTATTAGAGTCATCGCTTTGCCACTGTATTCTCCAGATTTTGATCCGCTTCGAGCAACGCCCATGTCCATTGACATTTTTATACTTTTGCAACATGTTGCTACAGAGTATAATAGGTTTGTAGGTTTGTTAATCGAATTATATAATTATATAATATAAATGATCAGGATGAATAGACGATATCAAAGCCGGGTGACTGTTTGTCCGTCCGTCCGTCTGTGCCAGCTGTAACTTGAGTAAAAATTGAGAAATCTTGGTGAAACTTGGTACACATGTTCCTTGGCACCATAAGGCAATCGGATCACTGCCACGCCCACAAAACGCCGATACGAAAACCAATAAATTGTCATTAAGGAGGGGCATCTGCAGTTAAACATTTTTGTAAAAGTGGGCGTCCGCCCTCTAATAGATTTATTGTGCAAATCTCATAAACCACTAAGCTATAATAACCAAATTCATTGAGGGCAAATCTTTTTCGCAGCCTTACCGGCAGTGTGAAAATGGGTGAAATCAGGTGATAACCCCGCCCACTCCTCATATAATGGTTTTGATTAAAACTAACAAATGGGGCGATAACTCATTAACTAAACAATTTAGAGAGTTTGAATTTTACACATAGAAGGTACAGCTCAGCTTTATAGAAAACAATACAAAAATTGGCGTGTCACCGCCCACCTTTAGGTGAAAGACCATATCTCGGTATCTACTGACCGATTTCAATTAAATTTGGTAAGTGCCATTTTCCTGGCAGGCCTATGTTACAGTGCAAAAAATGTGAAATCAATTAAAAGCACGCCTACTCCCTAAAGAGTGGCTTCAAGATATGCTATCTCAAGTCTAAAAAGTGGTAAAATCGGGCCATAACTGTTCAAGCTCCCCAGTATCCATGGTTGACTTTTTACCGCAATTATACTTCAATGTATGAAATACATAATTGGAATTCGGAAAGAATCCTTTCCTGATAATACTATGTCTGAATGTCAAAAATGGATTGAATCCGGTCAATACTTCTGTTAACCCCCATATAACTAATAGAAAAATTTTGGAACTTCCGGTTGACTTTATACCGCCTATATCGGCTAAAAATGAGTTTTCTATTGTGCAGGCATGTAATAACGGTGCATCTATGTACCTAAAATGGATTAAATCGTGTGAGAAGTTCCCTTAGCCCCCATATAACTAATATCAGGATTTTCAAACATCCGCTTGACTTTACTCCTTATCTATTGGTGATGGTATGTGAGGGACCTGAAAACCACTCAGAAAGCATTTTTTCCGTTAGCACTATGTAGTAAAGATAAATACTATAGATAGATAAAATCGGGTCAACTATCCCTATTTCCCATGGCTTTATACCGTATATATTGGTCCATGAGTAAGATATTTTAGCAAAATTAACTAGGTTAATACCGAAAATATGTGAAATTAGTCGACGAATTACTCAAACTCCCATATACTACATAAATAATTTTCATTATTTTGCGCCTTGATCCTTGTCAGTTGGAAGAGTATAAAATGTTCGGTTAAACCCCGTACTTGTTGATGTATAAAAGTCGCCAGAAAACTTTTAGCGTTACAAGTATAAACACACACTAACTAACATATCGAGATCATACTTCACACGAACATAAAAAAGTTGTACCAATCCTACCAAAATTTATTTATCGATTCAAATTGCGTGCGCAGTCCATATTTAAGCTTGCTTTATCCGTCGCTACCATCAGATCGCACCGCCAAAAAAATTAAAATTTTGCAGGAATAGGCAATTTGAAAATTGTTTGTAATTAAGATGTTCGTAATTACAAAACAAAAAAAAAAAAATATATATATATTTATTTAATCGTAATTCAGTTTTGTTAATGCATTAAGGGTTGCCCTATTTGTGAATTTTGTTCTACATTTAGCTTTCAATTTTTTGTAAACTGCTGTTTGTTTGTTATATTTTAAAAGTCATCTAACAAAAATTTTACTATTCTAAAACTATTATTTTAAATTTTGTCTTCTGGGAGGTAGCATTTAGAATAGCATCTTCCGAATTCGGGGTTAAAATGGGTATGTGAGGAGTTCTCCAGATTAAGAAAATATATATATGTAGTTGCCGCCGACCTATAGTATTTGAGATATTTTCATTTAAAGTTCAAAAATTCATTTTAAATTGCATTTTTTCGATTTATAATGAATTTTACATCTATATTTATATATTCCACTAATTCGTTTCTACTCATTTATTTGTATAAAACAATGCAAAAATAACATTAATCAAATATTCAACTTTTGTTCAAATCCATTTATTCATACAACAACAAAATGGTTTCAAGCAAACAAAAAATTACCATATTTTGCAAACAAATAAAAATACATAAAAAAAATTATTATACCGTCAATAAACAATTCATAATTATTTGGTGAGTAACGCAAAATTTCTCAGAAATTGGTTTCTCTTGATAAATCCTGGTGTTGGATCGACCAGGGTTACTTTTTTGGAGCGCGGCCGATGGCCACCGATGCATAAAAGAATTCTACGCGAAAAATTAATTATGTGGTATTTATTTCTTGCCATTTGCGTATTAACTGTTTTCTTTATTTCTTTTGGTTCCTTTGCAAAATATGTAGATAAGGTAACACTGTTTATTTAGGAGAATGAAGCCATTTTGTTATTGTGTGTATATTTAGCTGCAGGAGACTCATAGTTTTCGAGATATTCGCATTTAAAGTTCAAAAGTTCACAAATTAAAGTTAGCAATTTTTTATGTATTATGAATATTAAGCAATATTATATCCACTAACACAGCAATAAATAGCTTGTACACATTTGTTTAATATTAAATAGTACACAAATAGCTTTAAATCGTAATTAAAGTTTTCTTAAATTTGACTGATTTACACAAAGATAAAGAGATGCCTAACCCATCTCTTACTGGAAATGAGAGCGCACTTGCTAAACGTCAAAACGTCAAAACCTCCTGAATTTAGGCAACAGTTAAAGTTAATTGGAAAAACAGGGACGGCCAAATTGAAATGCTACAGAAAAATATGTGAACAAAGAGATTTGTTAGTGCTGTTGAAGATCACTAACAAAAATTGGAAAACAATGAAAATGAAGAAAACGGGAAATCGAAATGTATGAGATAAAATCTTTTGTGATGCCATACTTAGCAGTATTAATTTTCAATTGAAAATTTTAAAAAACATTTATTATTAATAAATTAATAAATTGGGCATCTCTTCATCCCTGGTTTCAATGATAAAAATTCCTGAATAACCTACATGTATTGTAAGATAATAAAAATATTAACTTCTCATTTATTCAATAAAAGAGAAAAATTTGTTTACTTATCGGTCACCACGCTCAAAAAGCGTAACTTGAATTATTATCAAAGAAAAAACTTTAATTAATATCAAAGAAAAAAAATACTACATAAAAGTAAATGAATAAATATAATTGCATAAGTTGATAAAAAAAAATGCTATGCAACAGCTTTATCGCGGCAGTCCCCGAGTGCCACACGTATCTTTTTTATTTAATGTGAAGTACAATCGATACAATTAAGCTTTGAATATAACATCATTCATATGGAACGACCTCCTTTGCAGGAACGACTTCGACGAACCCAATTTTTCAATACTTTGTCACTAAATCAAGTCGTATGTCATTAATAGCACGTTCAATATTGACTTCTAAAGCTTGATGAGAGTCTGGTTTATTGATAAACACCAATGACTTCAAATAACCCCACAAGAGCATTCGACTACTTCTTGTGAGGTTATTTGAAGTCAGTATTAAATCATAACTTCTTGGAGGCCATCCAATGTTACGTGTGGCACGAAGCCCCGTCTTGTTTGAACCAGGTGTTGTCAAGATCAACTTCTTTCATTTGCAGTCGTAAAAGTTGGTTATCATCGATCTATACCGCTCTCCATTGGCAATAACGATGTTGCCAGCTTCATTTCGAAAGAAGTACGGACCAATGATTCCACCAGACCAAAAACCACACCAAACTGTCAATTTAGGTGAATGTTATGGTTGTTCAGGAATAATTAAAGAATTTTCTTCGCACCATAATCGTCAGTTTTGTTTATTTTCCCCACGCTTAGCGAGCACAGATGGACGATTATTACGACCATAAAATGGCAAAAGCGCGCGTAAAGTTGCAATTGGAGAACGATTATTTTGATATTTGAATTTAAAGTTCAAATATTCAACTACTTAAAGTGCGTGTTTCTTTGATTTATAATGAATTTTACATCTATATTTTTAACTTTTATATCCTATATCCCTTTTACCTATACATTTATTTTGTATTAACTAGTGCAAAACTAATTTAATTCAATATTTAAATTTTGTTTAAATCAATTTATTCTTACAAAATCAAAATGATTGCGTGCAAACAAAAAATAAGTGTTACCATATTTTGCAAACGAATAAAAAATAAATAAATAAAACAAGGATTATACGGTAAATATAAAATTCATAAACGTGTGATGAGTAACGAAAAATTTTTCAGAATTTCCTTTCTCTTAATAAATCCCGATGTTGGATAGAGCTGGGTTATTTTTTTGATGAGCGGCCGAAAGCTCCCAATCCAAAAAGTTGTTATACGCAAAAAATCTGGGGATAACTGGGTAAAGTTAATTTTTCATTATTCAATATAAAATAAGTGTGTAGAAACGAATTGAAGGATATAAAATTTAAAAATAGAAGTGTAAAGTTCATTTCAAGTCGTAAAAACACGCACTTCAAATAGTTAAATTTTTAAACTTTAAATGCAAATATCTCAAAAACTATAAGTTTCCCGCGGCTTTATCTATATACATATATTCTTCATCACGAGAACCTCTTGAGACGTTATTTTAAAGCTTTCCCGCTAATGCAAATCTAAAATTTACCGTATACTAATCATGTGCCTGGTTAATTTAAACGAATATGGTCTAAAATATTCCCTCTTAGCATGGTTCAAAAATTTGCAATGGAAAATGGCCGGAATACCGGCAATGGAATACCGTCCCAGAATTTCGGGGATAAAATGGGTATGGGCGGATAGAGGAGGTCCTCAACGGGTAATGTAAAATAAATGTCTAAAAACGAATTAGTGAAGTGTTAGTGGATATAAAAGTGAAAAAAATATAAGTGTATAATTCATTTTAAATTGAAATAATACGTACTTTAAATAGTTGAAATTTTCAACTTTAAACGTAAATATCTCGAAACCTATAAGTTTCCTGCGGCTACATCTATATATATTCTTGATCTGAGGATCTCCTCTATCTGCTCTTATCTATTTTGGTATAAGTATAGTTTAGATCCCCCAACTAAGGAGGCATCAAAAAATTGCACTATATTTTTGGTTTTTAATGGATTGGAAAACGTGTTTTAAGCATTCGATTGTAATTACGTAGAACAAACAATCTTGTTGGCAGGTAGGATATCGCTTATTAGCTAACAAAATTTGAGACAATACGTTTATTTCACAATTTAAACTATATTTAAAACATGGTAACATACCTTCGTCATCTTCTTCACTACTGTCAGCAAGAGCTTTTAGCTTCTTTAATTTTTTTCTCTCATTGGTATCCAACTCCTCCTCCTCCTAAAAGAAAACGTAAGGTTTCTGTTTATCAGCATACACACATCGACGATAATATTACCTCGGATTCTTCAGCTTCCGAATCCAAGAAATCTGCCATTTTATATTTATCTTTTCCGGAACAATACACCTGGCACAACACTAAATCACTCAAAAAAGTTTAATTTACACAAACATCCACAGTTAAGATGTTAAATAAGTGTCGATATTTCGACTCCAACATACAATCGATATAGACAACAACGATATATCTCAACATTTTTGCAGAACCCAGCAAGAAAACTGTGTCACAAAATATAGCTTTAAAACATCAAATGGTTAGATAATTGAAACATATACAATAGCATCTAAAGGTTATTCCGAACCAAATACAATTGTACACTTTCTGTTAAGCAATTCATAAAATACTTCGATATTATGTATTATTTTGTAATTAATGTAATTACAATATCTTTGATAAAAGGTTTAAACTAATTTAACTATTGTTAATTTAATAAATTTGTACATCTATAATAAAACACTAATATTATATGAGTTAAATAGTTCATTTACCAGCGGGTAGAGTTCTCAATGCTTTATTGGGATTTGTACGATTGTGAATGGTTTGCTTAACACCAAACCAGAGATGAGTACAATCAGCACCGAGTTACAATCAGAGAAGAGTTCGTGCACACAGGTCCTCCGACATTTATAGCAGTTCAACGGAATTTAAAATACCGTAACCTTAAATATGTATAAACAAAGATAATTGTAAAGGGAATGAATGATAAACGAGAGATGAGAAATATAAAACTTAGATAAGACAGTATTGCCAGATCAAACTTGGCATTATTAGAAAATAAACTTAAACTAAGGTAAATAATCCTAAACATCCTGCCCGGTCGAGTCGGTTGACTTGAAATTCTCCTTCTCTATCAATAGACATAATTTCTGCATGGCTCGTTTCATGTATTCTCTAGCTCAACGTGACATTGCGGACCACTCCATCAGCTCCCAGAATCCTTGTTGAATTCGACGTATCCATTGCCATTGTTTAAGCCGGTTGCTAGGAATATGTTTGATATCTAGGTCAGGGACCGCTAGAAATGGTAAAATCAGGACGCATCCCACACAGCGTGTCAAATAATGCTTAGCGGACTTCACAGGCCTCCTTGATGTGGCGCACTTACCTAACCGGAATATGAGCAACTCGACTTGGAAACATTTACAATTCCAGACGAGAATTTTGTTGAAGCTGACGTCCAAATCAAGCGGTTTTACACAGGCTATGGTATATACCAGAAAATTCTGTGTAAGATTCATTGCGAAAAATGCACCAAGGCAATGACGCAGACACAAAGCGATTTAACGCTGTATTCGGAGGCACTAATCAGAGCAAAAAATTATAAGGATGATGGCGATTTAAGGCTAGTCAATCCTAGCGATAGGGTCTTCGAAGTGTGTCGACTGCAGATGATGTGGTACGTGAAGCTTTTCAACAAATACGCTCATTATCCAAATGTTCGGTTGTCCGCAATAAAACAAAAAACGGAAAATGTTTTTCCGCAATGGTTGGACCTAACTGATGAGTGTTTCGCTCATAAAATGAAATTATTAGAGTATTTAGTGACGGTACTTTTATATAAAAATTCAAAATGGTTTGTGAAGCAGGAAATAAATAGAGAACGACAGCGGAAGCACGAAGCTAAACTAAAAAAACTTAAGTAAGTTGCAAGTTAAGACCCTTTGTTTGATGAACATCTTACTTTTGGGTGAGTAATAAATTTATAAAATAAATATTTTCATTTTTTTAATGTTTATCATTTTATTCGATTTACAGGTTTTTTATTTCCACTTTTTTCTCTACTTTCAGTTTTCTCTATATATTTTCAGGTGTTTTTTACTTCTATTTTTTTAACATGCCAACTGAGCCTAGCTCTTTGCAGGTGAAAAAATTACTTAATTTAATTAATAAGTCGTGTGAGAAATTTCAATTGCAAAAAGACAGTTTCGTAATTCGGCATTACAATTTTTTTAAATTTTTTTAACATTTAATTTCAGCATTTTACAAAAACTGTTTTAATTGTTTTTAATTATTTTAAGTAAAAAGAATAAATCAATAAAATTTGTATATATTTTCTGAAAATAATACACTTGTCTTTGATTTATAGTATAGTACAAACATACATTTATTTGTATAAACATATAATACGTGTAAAAAGCATTTTGGAATATACATACATATTTACGTAATAAGATTCTCTAACCATATATTGAATATTTTCTTTAAAAAGTTTTACATATATAGTTATATGTACATGTAAAGATATATAAAAAAGAAAATACTTGTAAATTTGGCAACAAACAACATATGTATGTGAAGATGTAAGCTAATTGCTTCATGTGAAATCTGCGTTGTCACGGACAACCAATTGCGGAAGGTCATGTTTTTTGTTTTCATGTCAAAAAGTCAATGTGTCGAAGGACTGACGCGATGACAAAGTGTCACAACATTGTGTTTGTTGGTAGAAAATCCGAGCTGTGACGAAAAAAATTAACGAACGACCGCCGGGTGTCACCGCTTTCATTGTCGCTCGAACAGCTTTGCGTCCGAAGTAAACAGGACTTTCAAAAAAAAAACAGAACAAATGGTTTAATCGGCAAAACCAATTAATTTTATTCAAAATAACACGGTCCAAAAGCATGTCGAACTAGTGTTTTAGCTCGTTGCCCAGTATGGCCGCCAGTATGCTGGTGCAAGCCTTTTGAATGGCCTCCACGTCTGCAAAACGCTTTCCTTTCATCGGCAAATGCATTTTTCCGAAAAGGTAGAAGTCGCACGGTGCCATATCAGGTGAATACGGGGAGTTGTTGATTGTTAAAATGTGATTTTTTGTCAAATAATCGGCCACAAGCGTCGATCGATGAGACGGCGCATTATCGTGCAACAAACGCCAACTTCCATCTTCGCGATAAAACAAAATTTAATGTTGGCTCTTTGTTCGAAGCTCATTTTCGCACCGATGACAAAAACATACTGACACTTAAAACTCAATAACTTCACTTCCAATAGATAAAATGTCATGAAATTTTTACTGGAAATCGATAAAGGATAGCAGATTTTAACGCACTAGCCGACATATAGATGGCGCCACTAGAATTTACTTTGTTACTTTTTTACTGTTTACTTTGGAACGCACCTTGTATGTTTATGTATGAGCATGCGTACATATTGACGGAGATTTTTGTCATGGAAAAATATTTTTGAATTTTAAATTCTATTTTAAATCGACAAAAGCTTTGTTGCCAATTTTGTCAATTTTTTCTGTGTTTTGGGGGTTTGCGGGGTTGAAACTTTTCCCTTCTAGAGGGAACATTAGAAAGTTTTTCAATTTACGATTTTTAGCTTTTGCAATCGTCGCGAAAAGACACTTGTAAGGAAAGACATGTTCGGGGAGATGTGTATGGCGTTTACTTTTATGAATGAATCATTTTTGCTTGTTGAAAGTGCGCTTGCGTTCATGAATGAAAATGTTGTTGTTGTGTGTTTTACAAATTGGCTGCTTATTTGAGATGATGCTATTTAAGATTTTGTTTTTGTAAAACAATGCTTGTAAAACAATGTATGTATGTACATATAGAGCAGTGCGCGCACATGTTACTGATTCGAATGCGCGAAGGGGTACATACATAAATAAATGTGTATGAGCATGATACACGCCTATATAAGTTTTAAATGATGAGAGATACGATTTATATAAATTACTTTTGTAATATAGTAAGTCTTTTAGTATATTATGATAGTATGTTATGTATCTAGTATACACATAGCATATATACAAACATATGAAAGTACTTATATATATTATCACTATTTCTTTTTTTCACATTGACTACTAATATTACTTTGAAAATAGAATAATTTAATTAGAATTAATCAGTTTTACACACATTCATAAAAAATGATATTCATTTCAATGAATATGATTGCATATACGCGTATAAAAATATAAGCCAAAAGAGTAACATGCGGCTGTAAAATCAAAGCAAGTCTCTGAGCATAATGTTTATTCAATGCTCAGCTCTGTTCACACGCTACTGTTAAAATTTCTCCTTCCGAGCTAGCTGTGGTGAAACACGCGTATCGTTTTTTGTTAGGTTTTGACCATTCACACGCTTGTCCGTAGTTGATGCGAGATTAAAACAGAATCGACGATAAATTGCTAGAACCATATATAAAAGGGAATGTGCATCCTGGGTAACTCTAAATGGCATGCGGCCTTCACGACCTTTTTAGTCTCTAACGTATTTTGATCACTTGACTTGACAAGGTCAAAGCTTGGATTAGATGGATTGGTTGGAACCCTGGGTTGGTGGACGTGGTATTCTGTCACCTGAGTATTCAGGGAGGACACTCTGCAGAAAGATCTGATGGGCATGTCTAAATCCGGTTTGCTCTAAGTGCATTGCATTATAAGGGCGTGCGTGAACCCTCCCCTTGGCCCCGTAACTGACATAACTTTATAATCATATTAGGCCCTTTCCGGGAAATGGATAACGACTCTAAGTGGGGCCCCTAAAAACAGGAAAAAGGCAAAAACTCTAATAAGGACGAGGGAGAAAGAGGTTGGATTCAACCTCTGTGCGTGAAACTGGACAGTCTTTCAGGAGGGATGCCATCACCTAAGGAGAGCAAATTGTGCTGTGGAAATGGTAATGCATGGCTTACCGTAGTTGTTATTGTATCGTAAGAAAACATCCCTTAAGTAATTTTGAGTAATGCTGACGAGTTTACAGTCCTTAGCCGGATAAAACTCCGAGTCCATTCCGGTTACATAGACCCGTTCGCCATGGGAGCGGTAAGTTAGGGAGAGTCGGCCTTTTTGGTGTGTCTCTCATGAGAAATGGAGGCGAATAGCGCCGAAGAGCTCATCGCCTAGGTGCGAGAATGCCGGTAGGCACCTCGGCATGCACAAATTAATAAAGTGGCCGACGAACCGCCGACATCCCTTTGTAAGGAGGCAGTAGCCATTGTGGTGGAAGTATGGAAAGGGGCAAGGTTGAAGCCACGTGTTCTTATCCAAGAGCCATGGCTGAGCAGCAACGGCATCTCTGGATTAAAGACAAAGAGCCACAAGCTCTTGGCGGCCAATAATACAGTAAGAACCAGAGCTTGTTTATTGATTAAAAATGAACTTAGTGTTTTTCTTTTACCTTATTTCAGCAACGAGGGTGTCTTTAAAGCCAGGCTAGAAGATCTACTGAGAAGAGCTCTGGTAGAGGCCAAGCACAGAAGAGTCAGTAATAATCGGCACGGATATCAACTCCAAGTCACTGTCTG